TTGAGCTGAAGAGCTGAGGGACAGCGCCCAGGCCCAGAGTTCAGGCCCCACGACCGAACAAAAAAAAAAAAAAAAGAGGTGGAGCTCCAAGCTGACCCTTCAAGTTGCCTCATGGTGAGTATTAGCTTCACTCTGAACAAGTGATACAAATAGGAATGCACAAAAACAAAAAAAATCTCTCCCAATCCCCTCCTCCCAGCCCCCAAAAACCTGTTAAAAAAAAAAGAAAAAAAATTGGGGAAAGGCTCTTGGCTCACACCTGTAATACTAGCTCTTCAGGATGTTAAGATTTGAGGATTGCAGCTGTAAGCCAGCCTGAGCAAGAAAGTCTGAGACTCTGATCTCCAATTAACTGCCAACACCCCCCCAAAACAAAACAAAACAAAAAGCAGTCAGAAGTAAAGCTGGTAACTCAAGTGGTAGAGCACTAGCCTTGAGTACAAAGAGGCTCAGGGACAGTGCCCAGGCCCTGAGTTCAAGCCCCGCAACAACAAGAAGGGATGAAGTTATCAGTGCATGCTGCAGTACAGTAAATCTTGTGATATTACACCAAATAAAATGAATCACAAAAGCCCATATGTTTATGATTCCATTTACCCAAAATGTCTAGAATAGGCAAATCCATGGAGAAATGAGTAGATGGGTGGTTGACAGGGTCTTGTGGGGGTAGGGGAGAGAAAGGCATTGGGAATAATGCAAATAAGAGATTTCCAGAGAGGATGGAAATGTTCTAAAATTAATAGTGACTGCACAATCCCATGAATATGTAAGGAAAACAAATAACATACTTTAAATGGGTGAAATTAAACCAGTAGGATTTTTTAAAGGAACTTCTAATGCTTATTATATACTGTCCTTGGAAGTCACTTATTGCCATGTGTCTCTCCTCTACCCCCCCCCCCCCAGGAAGCACATGGCTAACGTCCATGCTGGAAGGGAGGGACTAGCCTATACTTCTTGAAGATCATCAAAGATCTTGTCGGCAAATTTTAAATCTACCACAGGGACCAACCAGCTGATACAGGCCCTGAGCCTGGCTACTTACATTCATTCAAATATCAGCTCTTCTAGACCGTGCTACCAGTTTTACTCTTAGCCTTTGGTTTCCTTGCTTGCAAACGAGGATTGAAATAGCAATTATTTCATGAACTTGTAAGGAATAAAACAAAAGGCATGCAGTAGAGCTCTGAGTCCTTAGTAAACAGTGATAAATACGGCCTGCCTTCTCCTAAGCTGGGCTCTGGCCTGGGGTCTGGTTTACTGTGGCACTGCCTTGGGTAGGGAAGAGGGTAAGGGTTAGGGAATATGACATGTTTGAGGCTGAGCCCCAGAGGACTTGGTTGGTGTTATGGTTCAGCCAGTGTCAGATGCTGACGGTGTTAGATTTAGAAATTTTAATTTACTGGCTTGCCCAGGCCCTATAATTTCTTATGAACAATCCAGAGCAATCTAATTCATTGAGTGACCTGCATATTAATTGATTAGTTTGTGCTGAGTGGACTGGAAGACTTCTGTTGCCCAGAGCACTGTTTCTGGAAGGAAAACTAGGTTGGGAAGTCATGTTGACATCGTATTTCATAGGAGGCCGTGTCAATCAAAGAAGTGGTAGACCCAGCATAGCTTTTATCCCACCAGTCACCCCTCACCCCCTGGATTTAATTTATTTTGCTAACTCCCATATCCTTTGCATGGTGCCTTGTGAATCTGCAGCTCTCAGTCCTGGGCCCAGAAGAATCTGGGCTTGTTGCTTTTTCATGCTTTCTGAAACTTACCCTCTTCTGACATTTTCTCAGCCCTAGGAGACCCTGTCTGTTCTGACTTGGTTTTCCCTTGGACCCCTGTTCCCTGGTATACTCTTGCAGCTTGTGTTGGCACTGATGGCTGTGACCCTTTGTAGATGGGGTTGGCCAACTACAATCCCAAGGGAACTGGCCTCTTTAGGGTCTCTGCACACCCCCACAGAGGATGGCTTTAGGCACTTTAGCCTGAACACTTCTGGGGGCTCCCATGGGCCACATTCCAAGTGTGGAGAAGAAATTGGATGGATGAAAAGACCAGAGAGATCAAGGGCCACATCCTGAGTTGGTATTGTCTAGCCCAGCTGAAGACTCCAGGACCCAGCCTCATGTCTCAGTGGTTCTTCTCTCTAGACTTAGAGTCATTTCTTGGGAGCCGTCCTGTTGGTAAGGCAAGCCATGAAGGGTTGCATTAGTAGCCACTCTCATTAGAGGAGGGGCCTTTTAGAGACCTGTGGATTCTAGAAGACTGGGGCCTGGGAAGAAGTCAGGCAGAGTTCTGGCTTCCAGAACAGGCTTTGGGCTTACCCTGGACATGGAGCTCAAAGCGAGGTGTCTTCCACCTCCAGTGTGGCTGTTCTAGCTCCCGTGAGGATCTGGGGCTAGATGGCTTCAGAGGCCTTGGACATTTGATGGAGGAGAACAGAGGGGACAGATATGGCCCATAAGAAGGTCCTGTTCTTTATCTACCCTCATCTGCGGGCCTGAGAACTGACTAGGGAACCTGGAGCCTGGTCTGCCAGCTTGGTTTCTATTATAAAAGCGGGGAGGAGCTTGGGGTCCCTCCCCAGGAAAGCCTATTGCTCAGGGCCTACAAAGGCAGCTTCTGTGAGTTCGCAGACTCCTCTGCATTCTGACTCTGTCTTCACCCCAGGCCTGTCCTCCTCCTCCAGCTCTAGCCTCTCTCTTGTTCACATCCCTGTCAAACCACTGGGCTGGGAGTTCTCCAAGGACCCTCTGAGCAGTTCAGATCTGCCCTCCCTCACTCAGGGCCACATGTAGGGGGCAGCAAGTGTTTCCAATGGGATTACTGGCCATTTATGTTGGAAGACTGTTTTTTCCTTCTCCTTCAGAAATACCAGGTTTGAACACAGGGTCTCAAGATTGCTAGGCAAGTGCCCTACCACTTGAGCCATCTCCCTAGCCCTTTTATGTTTTGATGATGATGATGATTGTTATTATTTTCAAGTAAGATCTCACTTTTGCCTGGGGCTGGTCTCAGCTTGTGATCCTCCTACCTTTCCCTCCTCCGTTACAGTCATGTGTCACCACACCTGGCCTGGGAGACGTCTTGATTTCTAGGAGAAGGCCATTATTAGGTCATTGGTGTTGTGCACTATACCTTGGTTCCCAGGGCTTTGGAAATCCAAACGTGTTTGGGCCCCAGCTGGCTTTGCAAAGTATGTTTCATTCTAATCATAGATATAGGATTGATGAACTCTGATCATTCCTGCTGGCCTTGTCTGTTTCCAAACCTCTCTCTTCCATCTTCTCCTGGAAGTTTCTCAGCTGTGTGGAACCCCAAAGTGGTAACTGCTCAAGTCTTGAGATAATCATACGGAGGCTGTCATCCAAGGACTGCCTCACCCTGTGGCATTACCCCATCACAGCTTGAGGATGCAGGCTCCTCTGTCATTAGGTTCCACATCCCAGCCATGGACCCTGGGAAATTGAGAGAAACAGGGAGGCCTGTCAGGCTGGAACTGGAATGAGCCTTCTGGGCTTCTGAGCCCTGTGTACTGGGCTGGAGCACAGTGGGGACTCTGGTGGGTGGGAGGGCTGGAGCAGGGTTTGCTGGCATCTGAATTGCATCTGACTAGCTGATCCCCACAGAATGAGGATCCAGGCACTGCCAGGTCACCATGGCTGGGTGACTCATGCAGAGTTATGAGACACAGAGCTTTCCTCCTTTTTCTTCTCCAAACCTCGCCTGCCCTTCCTCCAACCAGCAGCAGAGCGCAAGCTGCAGCCACCAGCTGGGAGGTGTCTCCAGAGAACACTGAGGGGAGGTCCCTATGCTAAGAAAAGACTTTGGACTTCAGGGAAAAGAACTTGCAGAATACATCCATCACAGGAGGCCATTTTTTGACTCTGGTTGCAGGGAGGGAGCTCTTTTTACACGCAGGGCTGGAGGTAAGGGAGGTGACTGCTAGGCAGGTTGCTACAGATGGAGCTGGTACATCCCTTCCCTTTTCCCTTTCCTTTCCCACCTGGGTTAGCTTTGAACAATCCTTATATCTCAGCCTCCTGTATAACTATAGCATTACAGGTATGAGCCACCTGTGCTCAGCTGTCATGTTGTTTTGTTTTCCTTTTATTTAAATAAAATCAAGATATGCCAAGACAAAAAGAATCTCACCTAGCTCCTCATGTTTCACCTCTTTGTAGCCCTGGTCCATAATTTTCATCTCTTCCTCTCCCATTCATTCATTCATTCATTCATCATCATTCATTCATTCACACATACACACATGCACATGCACACACAGAGAGAAAGACAGAAATTGAGAGTGAGAAAAAACATATGTTTTGTTCTGCCACGTGTCTCTCTTAAAAAGCTTCTAAACCCCACACCATTCCATAATACAGCTATAAATGGTTTATATCACTTTTTTTTTTTCTGAGACAGGGTCTTAATTTGAAACCCAGGCTGGCCTCAAGCTCATCCTCCTGCTGCTTCTTGCCAAGTGCTGGATTTAGAGGTGTGCACTACTATGTCTGGTAGCTCTTTCATATCAAGAAACAGATTTATCAAGTCTTTGCCATGTGTCAGGATTTCTAGCCATGTGTGGTGCCACTGGTGTGCAGTTTATAGGGAGCTGGGATGAAGGTTGCTAGCCTGGAGGATGTGCACATTTCAGTTGCAGCTGATATTGCCAGAGATCCGTCCCTCTCCAGAGATCCCCTTCCCTCGTGTGGTCCTCTACCTCTGCCAACATTGCTGCCACCGGCAAGTGAGCTCTGGCCTCCTGGGCTGCCTTGTGCAGAAGCGAGCACCCTGTCACCAGAGAGACCCATCTTGGCTGGAGACCCAGAGCTGGAGACCCTGCAGGGAGGAGAGGAGGAGCCGAGGCTGCTGAGGTACCTTCCAAGCAGCCCACCGGCATATTCCACTGGCTTCAGCTGAACAAGATACACCTGCCCCTTATTACTCCGTTTCCCTCACCAGGAGCCAAAGCGAGCTTGTTTGTGTTGTTTCCTTAGGTCAGCTGAAGCTGCATATCGACGCCCAGGACCGGGTTCTGCTGCTCCACAGTGAGTATGGCACAGGTGGGGATGGGGAAGGCCGCTCCTTCCTACCTGGAGTTGGGGGTGGGGGGCATGACACTGGACATCTGCCGGGGCTGTCTCCATAGGCCAGCTCCTGTCCCTGTGTGTGTGTGTGTGTGTGTGTTCGTGTGTGTGTGTGTGTTCCATCTCAGGCACCTCTGTCCTCAGCAGGTGGCAGCAGCACCACAGAGGGCTTCCCTGCCTCCCCTCCTCCCCGCCCCCAACCCCATCTTGCTTCCTTTCCTCTGTCTCATTTCTCACTATCTCATTTCTCTGTGCATCAATGGGCAACAGAGTCGTGGTTAGGACGCAGTCTTCAGAGCCAGCCCGCTAGGATATGTGCCCTGGCTCTGATACTTTGCTAAGTGACCTTGCATAAGCCCAGGTTTCTCCTTTGTCAAATGGTGGTAGTAACAGGAAGCATAAGACGGGGTTATTATAAGCATTATGTGAGTTCATATTGGTAAAATGCTCAGCATCTAGTAAACGATGTATTTAACTCTGTTAAAGAAAACAGAAAACCAAGCTGGGCGCTGGTGGCTCGCGCCTGTAATCCTAGCTACTCAGGAGACTGAGATCTGAGGATTACGGTTCAATACCAGTCCGGGCAGGAAAGTCCGTGAGACTCCTATCTCCAATAAACCACTAGAAAACTAGAAGTGGCTCAAGCGGTAGAGCGCTCACCTTGAGCTGAAGAGCACAAAGGACAGTGCCCAGGCCCAGAGTTCAAGCCCCACGATGGACCAAAACAAAAGAAAAAAGAAAACTATCTCTTTCAAAACTAGAGCTGGCTGTGTGCTAGGGGCTGGGGATTTGGAGGAAAAGCCCCTACCTGTGTCTAGGTAGTGCTGGTGGGATCCACACTCCATTCTAAATGTGGGACAGGCTTAAGCCAGAGGAAGAAGCTGAGGACAGGGGGAGAGTCCATTCAGGTGGAGCAGCAAATGCGAAGGCCCTGGGGTCTGAGAGGCCAGGATGTATTGGAAGAGTTGTAGAGCATGACTGGGGCATAGCACGGAGGGGATATTATATTTAATCTGTCCTTTTATCCATTTTGTCTTCCTTCTGTCCAGCACATAAATAGTTACCAAATTTCTACAGTGGCCTCCTCTGTCTGGACCCTTGTCCTTAGCTCAGGAGGCCCTGACTGTCTCTGCCACTTCCTTAGCTCTTGCCTCTACTTTCCTGTTCTAGCCAGTTACTGATACCTCCATAATGTATCCTACTTGACTGTGCCTCTGTGCGTAGGAGGAGGAAGAAGAAGAAGAGGAGGAGGAGGAGGAGGAGGAGGAGGAGGAATAATACTCCTTTCCTCTGCTTTTGCAGAAATATGGCTTCCTCCAACATTATTAAGCCTCAGGAAGGAAGGCTCACTTTTGCTTATTTTTTCCTTCTAGGACCACCCCCTCCCACCCCCACCTGGGCTATTTGTGGCTTCCTCTGTTATGTTCTTCTTACAGCCTGGCGACACAGTGCCACCTGGGGGCTGGCCCCTGCATTGGGATGGGAGTGTCCTGAGGGTGGGGCCAGGTTGGCCTCCCTGCTGCTGCTGGCTTGGAGACCCAGGAGGTCACCAGGCCTGGCTCCTGCCCTTGTGAGGGGGGTGGGTATAGGCAGGGACTGTAACTAGGATACAGGACAGACCTACAGGCACCCGGGGTCCTCTTCTCCTGGCCTGAAGGGGCCCTCCCGAGGTGAAGTTCCCAAGGACCAGGAAGGAGGGGGGTGTCTTTGCTTGCAGGTCCAACTCCAGCTGTGCAAACAGTTTTTGCAAAATGCATCTTGGCTGCCACGGCTCCATTTGTCCTTCACAGTTTGCTTTGGCTTGTCCCCAGTGGCAGGCCCTCCATCCGTCCAGCCTATCCCCACTCCTTCCTTTGGCTTCCCAGGCCTCAGGCCTCAGACTACTGGGGGCTCCGTGTGAGCCAAACTCCAGGGTTTCATCTAAGCCAAACACAAAAGCACACACAGGCCCAGGCTCTACCAGGCCCATGGGCTGATTTCTATGGTTCTCAGGCATACAGGTTGCCCTTGGCTTTCATGACCAGACCTGCCCCCACCCCACTCTCATCTCTCCCTTTATTTCTTCTTTCATTTGTCAGCTATTCTACCCCACACTAGATGCATGATCTCATTTACTGGGCAGGACAATCATATGAAGTTCACGTTAGCATCACTACTATCTAGGGAAGATGGGCAAATCCAGCCTCATAGAGGCAAGGAAACTTCACTTGAACACACACTTAGTAAGTGGTGGGATTCACGGGTGATCTCTCTTGAGCCTGAGTTTGTGACCTACTTTGCCCGATCATCCAGCACAGCTCACAGGGCAAGGGAGTTCTCCAGCATGGCTCTCTCATTCTGGAAGGCTCTCTTGGATGGTACCGAAAGCCAGGAGACATGGGTTCTAAATCCAACTGCCATTCCCAGTATTCTGAGATTTGGGACATTTCTTAGTCCTTTGGGCCCACTTGTAGCTGCCTTTTCTGTTCAAAGATGAGCCGGACTCAATACATTTAAAATTCTCTTCCAGCTGTAAGAATCTGGTAGTGGAATGCATTCTGTAATTCCATAACCGTTATTACAGGCATGTTGACTATTAATTTTCAGACCTTTTACTGTGTACATGCACACACCCACCATGCATTGACTCCAACTTCCAATTCTCTTTTAGTCATAGAAGGCAAAGGCCTGATGAGCAGAGAGCCTGGCGTCTGTGATTCCTATGTGAAGGTATGTGATAGAGCTAGAGGTGTGACATGTGTGTGTGTGTGTGTGTGTGTGTGTGTGTGTGTGTGAGGGAGGGAGAGAGGGTATCAACAAGCATGTCACTGAATTAGAGCCCCAAAGTCCCAGCACAACTGTGGATTTGGGGCCATTTGACGTCGTGAGCTTTTGGGTCCTCGTTCGTTCATCATGTCAGATTTACTCTAGGCCCTGTGTTAGGATAGATTCCTTCCTTTTGCCTTTGGGCAAGAGCTGAAACTTTTTTTGTTTTTAAAATTTCCAACTTACTGGCCTTTTTTTTTTGGTTGGTCGTAGGGGCTAAAGTCTGGGTCTAGGCGTTGTCCCTCAGCTCTTCAGCTCAACACTAGTGCTCTACCACTTGAGCTACAGCACCACTTCCAGCTTTTCCTGCTTATGTGGTGCTGAGGAATTGAACCCAGGGGCTCATGCATGCAAGGCAAGCACTCTACCACTGAGCCACCTTCCTAGCACAGAGGTTTCAGTTTTTTTTTGTTGTTGTTGTTGGTTGTGGGGCCTGAACTCGGCCTAGGCACTGTCTCTCAGCTCTTCACCTCAAGGCTAGTGCCCTACCACTTGAGCCACTTGGCCTTTTTAAAAGAAGATTTTTTTTTTTACCTTGAAGTAGTTGTACAAGGGAGTTGTTATTTAACAAAGCAGTTTATGAATACAATATATTTTGATCAATGCTGCCCCTTTCAATATTCTCATGCATTCTTCCCCTACCCACCCCTTTCCTTACTCTTGTTAATTTTGTAAGGAATACATCAGATTTTTTTTTTTTGCAGTGGGGAGGGGGCAGTCATGGGGCTTGAACTAAGGGCCTTTGTGCTGTTCTTGAGCTTTTTCTTTTCTTGTTGGTCATGGGCCTGAACTCGGCTTGGGCGCTGTCCCTCAGCTCTTCAGCTCAAGGCTAGCGCTCTACCACTTGAGCCACAGCACCACTTCCGGCTTTTTCTGCTTATGTGGTGCTGA